TAATGATAATAATAATGAACATCGGGTTTTATTAATCAATATATGGTCACGAAATCATATCATATAACAAAGAATTAAGGTAATTGTTTGATTACAATTAAGTTATTTCAGGAAATTACAGATTTTGTTCAATTAATCAATGAAATCCGATCAATTTGGAAGTGAATGATTTGATTCACTATAAATATCATGTGTAATTAGTTGTAACAAACCCACAAAATCTTGACTATCCACGTATCTATATAATCTCAAATACCCATCCATGAGATCTCATTCATTATTTGCATCAACATTTGCTGAAATTCATCTGCACCGAGAAGGTTTGTATTAAATACTTTGTTGAACATTCTTTCTTGCATTTTTTTGTTAGTGTATATAATGGCATATATGAGTTCTTGATCTTTTCCTTACTCTTTGTCCATGTGGTTTCCGTCGGATTAGCTCCGTATGTGAGAATTATATTATTGACTGCTCATGAATTTACAGTACAACTAAGTTATTTCCATTTTGCTCCACTTAATTATTTTTCTATATTAATTTATGTATATACAGTATTCTATATTCACTTTATACAATACAAATTGTTCTTTAATTTGTAATTCTCAACAGTACCTCTCTGTCAACACATTCTCTTATGGATTCAACCAACAAAACTCCGACATCACCGAACACATCTCACCTGTTTGATGTTCCTATAGGTAATTGAAAAGGTCCAAATAACCTTTCAAACCATTTTAATTTTTGTCAATTTCTTACCGTGTTACATGATACTGTATTTCAATATACCTTTTTCTTCTTTTTTGTATGTATTTAGAATGTTCATCGTAACCCGTTGACAAGAATGTTCCAAAACCTAAGAGAAAGATTTATATTTCTGGTAACTTTTGACAATAAGTAACTTATCTCTTTATATTTTACAATATATATTGTACGTTTTAATATATATGTTACTGATCGACTATAATGAATAGTTTTATACAATCAAATCTTTTACAAATAATTATGTAATAATACTTATTAAATGCATTCAGGTAGTGCTAATGCTAAGAGATCATCAATAATAAGGAGACCAATTGCTTTTGATAATAATATGTTATCACAAAATACGTCACAAAGTAAGAATTGTACTATTTATTATATATCCAATGATTTTATTGTATAACTATTCATATAATTTCAACTTTTACCGGTGTGCAGTTCTCAATAATTCGTATGTGTTGACTGCTCATCAATACTCCATGAAGGAGAATCATCACTCAGGAGAACGGAATACACACGAAGTGACCAATGGTGTGTATACTACACGAATACTTACCAATATAGTTTGGTATATTGACATATTGTTATTGTGCATTGTCAAGTAATGTTTTATATATTATTATCCCACTTTAGACCAAATTGCTAACATAAAGGGAAAAAAAATCATGGACGAGTCCATAAAATCTCAAGAAGCTTCATTTTATGGAATGAGTGGTGTTCGTATGCCATCGGGTCGTGTTCTTACAGACATAACGAATGGTTAGTTATTGAACTCGTATGATAAATAAATCATGCCATGTATATTTACATGATGTTTTAAACCATAAATCAATTGTTAAAATGTAGGAATAGAATAATAATTTTATTTCACATCATCTTTGAAATCGAAATCGACCTTCTGATAAACAACATGGACACGTTTAAATTATATAGATTGTTTACATGGTTTTTAATTATATTGAACTAAACATGTGACATGTTTATTTTTATAGATAATCAGAAAAAGGGACAACACATTCCTACTGGAAAAAGAAAATTGTTACACGATGCTTTTAATACACGACGTGTTGTTCGGACACCATCGAGTTGGATTCTAAGTGATGTATCAATTGGTGAGTCAATTAGTTATACTTAATATTTTAAACCTGTTTTCTTTTAATATATTTCACGTGGTGATGATTATGTTCTTATATATTTATTTTAATTCCATACTATTTATAATATTCGTCATCCAAAATGGGAAAAACAAGTAATTGGAAAAGGAAAGGGAGTTATCGCAAAACACGGAAACCCGCAGGAAAACGCATTTCATGGGGGAGTTCAAACTCCATCAAGTTGTGCTACATGGGACATAAGTAACGGTAAGATTGAATTCAATAACCTTTTAATCGTGGCATGCACACACGCTACATAATTCGTTCTTATTAACTTAAATATTAAACTTTTACTACCATAATAAGACTATAACCATAATTCCATACATCATTATTTTTTGTTCTTTTATATGAAAAAAATTATACAACAATATCAAGAAAAGTCAAACATATATAAAATAATTATTTATAAAATTAAATTTAATATTTCAATATATTGTTTCATCATAATAACAAAACAGGTAATTCAGGTCATCAAAAGTCTGTAGAACACCGACAAAATAATGACGTGCAAGGATTAAATGTTGGAAACACAAAATTGACTGATGAGGCCTTTAGTGGACTAGGTGTTGTTGGAACCCCATCGAGTAGACGGAGAAAAATCAAATTTCCTATGTATAGACAGAATGATGCAAGTTTTTCATCAGCCGACAAATTGAATAGTATAAATTTAGCTACACAAAATATCCATATGGCTGTCAGTGGGAGCACGTTACACTACGAATGTGAAGTTGTTAATTAATATTTCTAACTGCAATAACACATACAATTACAGACCATAGTTATTAAATGGTTTTGTTTTTTTTTTAAATCCTGAAACAGACACAATCCGACACTCTTACAATCCTGAATCTGGCACTTATGAGATTCTGGTTAACTATCTAGATTCATTTTACAATCCACAAAAAGGTACGTTTGTATTTTTTTTTATGCACGTTCATATTAATTTATATAGTGAATATTATAAATTTTCTAATTATATGTTCTCCATATATTTATTAAATTATCATTTCTAAAGTTAAGGATTGGAAAGAGAGTTGCAAGGAGTCAAAAAACGATACAGTCGGTTGCACGTTGATTAAGTATGGACATTACACCTGCTATATTGGTGGATGAGGATTCTCAAACAGTAAGAGATGTTACATCGGACAGTGGAGGTAACTATTATTTTTTACATTCACACACGGTTGGCGAAATAGGTCATTCAAATGCAAAAAACGAGATTTCATTGAATGATAAAAAAAATGATTTTTATTTACAGATTCTGAATATCTTTCCAACGACGACAATAGCGACGATTCATTTGATTACGATGGTATTAACGTTTTATGTTCTTTAAAACTATATTATTATATTGTATTCAAACTTTATGAATTACTTATACTCGATGTGCGCTATAACAAATTACGACGATCTAGGAGACCAGTCGTACGAATGTCAATCGTGTGGTGCAATGATGTGGTACGCTGAACGTCTTGATAAGCATAGGAACACATCGAGACCAGAGTTTTCTCTATGTTGTCAAAAAGATAAAGTACAACTGCCTAATATGAAAAATCCCCCACCTGCTCTATCCAATTTGCTTTTCGGTACGGATAGGCAGAGCAAACATTTCCAAGAAAATATCCGTTCTTACAACGTGATGTTCGCGTTTACATCACTTGGCGGAAAGGTACAAACATCTATTAATACTGGTGCTGGACCATACACATTTTTGCTTTAAGGTCAGAATTACCATCTGTTGGGAAGTATGTTGCCGGAGGAAGGCGCAAGACCAAAATTTACACAACTTTACATCTTCGATACAGAGAATAAGTTCATAATAGAATTGACGCTGTTAGGTAAAATCTATTTCATTTTGTGCTTACGTTCGCAATACATATGATGCATTTTGATCCGAGTGAAATTGTTTAATCATTTGAAATTGTAGGTCTGGAAATAACTCAAACAATCTTGATCCTCAAATTGTTGCATACTTGAAGGATATGATCGATGAGAACAACGTACTTTCTCAGTCGTACAGAGCTGCGCGGGATCGACTTTCCAGTGAAGGCCTGCAAGGTGTTAAGCTAAAGCTGGTCAAAAGTTGTAGCACCGATGGCAGGACTTATAATCTCCCTAACGCGAGTGAAATTGCAGCGTTGATAGTTGGAGATTTTGATACGCAAGAAGAGGTTAGGGACATTGTGGTGGAGACTCAGTCCAAGAAGTTGCAACGCATTAGTGAGCTACACCCACTGTACCTGCCGTTCCAATATCCGCTCATATTTCCTTACGGGGAAGACGGCTATAGAGAGGATATTGGTTTGAGAGAATCCTTTCGAGGTAACAAGGGAAAACGAAAAAAAATAACCATGCGAGAGTACTTTGCTTACCGAATCCAAAAAAGAAGCAGCGACAGTTCAGTACTTTTGAATTCAAAAAAATTGTTCCAACAGTTTGGGGTGGACGCTTATTCTATGATTGAGTCACAAAGGTTGAATTTCATTAGATACAACCAGTACAAAGGCATTGAAGAATGCATTTTGAGAGGGGACACTGAGGACATATCAGCTGGTAAGCGCATAGTTCTTCCCGGCTCATTCATTCCTGGACCGCGGTACATGTTCAACAATTTTATCGATGCTCTGCAAATTTGTAATTGGATTGGCTTTCCATCATTGTTCATAACTATTACATGCAATCCACAATGGCCTGAAATACAAAGGGTCCTGAATGACACAAGTCTCAGACCGGAGGATTGTCCTTATATTCTATGTCGCGTATTTAAAATGAAGTTGGACAGTTTGCTGACGGATTTCAAGAAGGGACATATTTTTGGACGAATTAGAGCGCGTAAGTAGTGCATTAATGTTAAAAATTCAATATGCGGTATATTCATTATGTCGATAATGGTTTATTGCTTGCATATCATTTGACTTCGTCATTTTTTTTTTTGCAGACGTATGTACGATTGAATTTCAGAAACGTGGTCTGCCTCACGCACATATATTGTTGTGGTTGGATAACGATGCCATACCAAAGTGCTCCGCCAACATCGACTTGATGATTTGTGCATAAATTCCTGACAAAAAAACTGATCGAAAGATGTACGACTTGGTTGAGAAATACATGATACACGGCCCGTGCAGTCATGCGAATTTGAATTCACCTTGCATGAAGAATGGCGTTTGCACGAAAAGGTTTACAAAGAAGTTTGCACAGCGAACTGAGGCTGATGATGATGGTTACCCTGTATATATATGAGAAGGGACGATGGAAGAACGATTATGAAGAAAAACACAATTCTTGACAATGGTTTTGTGGTTCCTTACAACCGTACATTATTGAGTAAATACCGAGCCCATATCAACATCGTGTTGTGCAACCAGAGCAAGTCAATAAAGTACCTGTTCAAGTACGTCAACAAAGGACACGATCGTGTCACAACAACATTTTTTCAACCTCCGTCTATGGACGCCGCTTCTGTTGTACGTGATGAAATCAAGATGTACTATGATTGTAGATATTTATCTACGTGCGAGGCGATGTGGAGGATTTTGGCATTCGATATACACTACAGGGATCCCCATGTCACTAGATTGAGCTTCTATCTCTCCGACAATCAGCCGTTGATATTCAATGAGAACCAACCTTTAAAGAGTGTCCTGGAATGTCCAACAGCAAAGCAAACTATGTTTTTAGCGTGGTCCGAGGCGAACAAAAAGTACCCACCAGCTAGGGAATTACGGTATGGAGAGTTTCCCCTGCATTATGTGTACAAGGAGGATTCTCGTGTATGGGTGCCAAGAAAGCAAGGGTTTTCTATTGGAAGAATTACCACTGTACCCCCGGGAAAGGGAGAAGACTTTTATTTGAGATTGCTGCTCAACATCCAGAGAGGGTGCACCAGTTACGAAGACATACGAACGGTTAGTGGCAATGTTTACGCGACATTTAAGGATGCATGCTATATTTTGGGGCTGCTTGAGGATGACAAGGAGTACATTGATGCAATCAAAGAGGCGTACGGTTGGGCAAACGGCCAGTTTCTCAGACTGTTGTTTGTTGTTATGCTGATTTCTAACAGTTTGAGCAGAGCGGAATATGTTTGGGAGAGTTGTTGGTCGAATTTGTTCGATGACATTAAATACAAGCACCAAAGGCGCCATAATAATCCAGGTATCAATTATTTTTATATTGTTTTACAATTTTTAAGTTTCATTTTTCAATTTTGTGAACGCATTTGTCCTATTAACTATACCTTTTGCAGGTTTGACTCTATCAGATGATAGTTTGAAGAACTATGCGTTGATTGAAATCGAGAAAATTCTACAAAGCAACGGCAAGAGCTTGCGGAATTTTGACTCTATGCCAATGCCACTACATTCGTCAAATGACACGGAGAATCGATCAGTGCTCGATGAGTTGGACTACGACGTTATTGCGATGGCTGAAGAACTAAAACCTTATCTATTTTCTATCACAGACGAGCAGAGAAAGGTTTACGATATCATCATGGATGCTTTATCGAAAAATAGCGGCGGGATGTACTTCCTCTATGGTCACGGAGGAACCGGAAAGACATTCATATGGAGAACGTTGTCTGCTGCAATTGGTTCCAATGGAGAAATAGTTCTTAATGTTGCTTCGAGTGGCATAACATCTTTGCTGCTTCCCGGTGGCCGAACCGATCACTCCAGATTTGGACTGCCCATCATTGTGCACGATGGTTCCACGTGCAACATTACACAACAGAGTCCGCAGGCAGAATTGCTTATAAAGTCGAGACTTATTATATGGGACGAGGCCCCGATGATGCATACATACTGTTTCGAAGCGCTAGACAAGACGATGCGATCTATCACGCATGTTCCCAAACCGTTCGGCGGCAAGGTGGTCGTTCTTGGCGGAGACTTCAGACAGATTTTACCTGTTGTGCTGAAGGCATCAAGGGAAGACATTGTTCACGCTACGATCAACTCATCTCAGCTTTGGAAAGACTGTACGGTTCTTAAGTTGCATACGAATATGAGGCATCAATCAAGCTCTAATCCATCTGAAGTTGAAGAAATAAAGGAGTCTGCTGATTGGATACTAAGTATCGGTAATGGGGAGGCGGGAGAGAAGAATGACGGTGAAGCTTCCGTTGAGATTCCTGTGGACATGCTAATTCCCGATTGTGAAGATCCATTATTGGAGCTATTGCAGTTTGTGTATCCAGATTTGTTGAGTAACATATCAAATCCAGATTATTTCCAAGGGAGGGCAGTGCTTGCACCGACTAATGACTGCGTGGAGTCTGTCAACGACTACTTGTGTTCTCTCCTACCCGGCGAAGAGATGTTGTACTTCAACGCGGATAGTATGTGCAAGGATGAGTTGAGTTCGGAAGAAAATGCTGAAATATATTCGACCGAATTCCTCAACACCGTGTCTTGCTCCGGACTCCCTTCACATAGGCTTAAATTGAAGGAAAATGTTCATGTTATGCTTATACGAAACATCGACCAGGCGAGAGGCCTTTGCAATGGAACCAGACTTCAAGTTGTTAGGATGGGAGTTCATGTTCTTAGCTGCAAGGTTCTATCCGGCAAAAATATCGGTGATGTTGTTTTCATTCCTCGGATGACGTTGGTCCCATCGAACTCTACTTTGCCCATTAAGTTCCAGAGGCGACAGTTTCCGTTGATGGCTTGCTTTGCAATGACCATCAACAAAAGTCAGGGTCAAACACTTTCACACGTCGGTTTGTATCTACCCAAACCTGTATTCAGCCACTGTCAGTTGTACGTTGCACTCTCGAGAGTGAAGAGTAGATCTGGCATAAAGATCCTAATCATGTCTGAATCCAGTGAATCATCGAGTTCTGCTAGCAACGTGGGGTACAAAGAAGTATTTCAACGTATATGAAGGTATATATCATGCATACCATCCATTATTCAACTTATTGTCATATTTTGTCTTATTAATATGTGTATGTGCTCTCTATGTTTAGGTGTATTTGCAAGTGATTTTTTTCTCTAGCATATCCGGTATAGTCGCTTTTGGTAAGTACTACAATCGAAATATTGTTTAATTACGCACTGATTGTTGTTTCAGTAATGCACTGAATTCTTGCAAAATACGAAAACTTTGCATGTTAACTGCTATATACTGTTTGATTTATGTGGATCTTTGAGATAGTTCAGTGGGTTTGATTCCCTTAGTTTTAATTAGTTCTAGAATTTTCTCTGGAAGACATGTCGAACGGAAATCTGTTATTCATTTGTTTTATAAAACTTCAACTTGCTTTGGGACTGATTTTTTTTTATTCATCCAATATCTTAACTTATATTAGTTTTATATTTAAGTGGGAATATTAGTTTTTTCTGACCCTAAATTGTTGAATATCAATTTTGTTCTTGAAGGTGATCCCCGTGCATCGCACGGGTGAGATACTAGTTTAATAGAAAATTTAATCTAAGAAACTGATCATGCTACTAACTAAATAATTAATTAGTTAGTAGGGAGTTAATCCAATCTCATGTAATCCAATCTAATCCAATATAGGTAACCGAACGAGCCCTAAATTTACAAAATATACATGCTTTTAAAAATGTGTGCTTTACGCTGGGACTGTAAGATGACGACAAGGAGTACATAACTTGCACGAAGGAGGCAAATGAGTGGGCCAATGGTGACTATGTGAGACAATTATTTGTTTTGCTTTTGGTTGCGAATAATATGAGGTGACCGAAATACGTGTTCTGTTGCTGGAAGGAATTCTCGGAGGACATTGCGTCCAGACTACGACAACGTCGCACCAATTCAGGTATGACACTACGTCTTACATTGTTCCACAATTTACTACAAATGTTTGAATTCAAAATATATACTTTTAAATCGCCACATTTTCTTAATTTTTCATATTATACTATATTGAAAGTCCATTTGTGTCTGATGATACTCTGAGAAACTATTTTTTGATTCAAATGGAAAATATATTACAAAGCAATAACAAAAGCTTGAGTAACTCCCCCCCCCCCCCCACCCAATGACGATCCCGATTAAGTTGATGACGGCCGCGACGGTAAACAAATTGGTTCTTGACGAGTTGGACTATGACGTTGATGCGATGCTTGAAGAACTTAAGAAATACCTTTCATCCATTACCAATGAGCATAAAAGAGTGTTCGATGATATCATTATGTAGTTACAAATGACAAAGGTGGACTCTTCTTTCTTATGTGCATGGAGGAATGGATATGACTTTCATATGGAAAACTTTATTAGCTGCTATCTGTTCAAAAGGCGAAATAGTTATAAACGTTACTTCTAGTGTCATTGCTTCGCTTCTACTTCTCTGTGGCAGAACTGCGCAATTCGAGATTTGGACTGCCAACAATTTTACATGAGAGCTTCACATGCAACATCAAACTACAAAGTCTATAAGCAGAATTGTTGTCTAAAGCAAAGCTAATCATATGGGACAAGGTACCGATGATGCACATGTACTGTTTCGATGCACATGATAAGACAATGAAATAGATATTTAATTCAAATATGCCATTTGAAGGCAAGCTTGTAGTTCTTGGAGGGGACTTTCGGCAAATTCTGCCAATTGTGTTGAAAGCATCGACACAAGACATTGTTCATGCTACAATCAATTCATCACCATTGTGGAGACAATGTAAGGTTATGAAGTTGAACAAGAACATGAAACTTCAGTCGGCCTCCTCTTCTGCCAATGTAGATAAAATAAGAGAACTTGTGGAGTAGATATTGAGAATCAGCAATGGCGATGCTGGCGAGGTTAATGATGGTGATGCTATAATTGAAATTCCTGATGACTTGCTGATTCGTGATTCTGCAGATTGGATCTTATCCAGTTTGTTTATCCCGATCTGGTGAGCAACGTATTCACTCCTGAGTATTTTGAGGGCAGGGGCAATTCTTGCACCGACTAATGAAAGGGTCGGTTTTGTGAATGATCATTTTTTGTCCATCACAACTGGAGAGGAGAAAGTCTATTTCAACTCCGATAGTGTGTGCAAGGAGAAGTAATTACCAGATGTCAATGCATAAATATATTTGACCGAGTTTCTCACCACCACATCATGCTCCATAATTCCACCTCATAAGTTGACATGAAAATAGGTGTTGCCGTTATCCTCATCAAAAATATTGACCGGGCCAGTGATTGTGCAATGGAACCAGGCTTCAGGTTATTAATATGGGAAAAGACTTTCTCAATAGCATGATCGTTTCCGGTAAACATGTTGGGGACTGGGTCTGAGTTGGTTATGGTTCGGGTCCAGAGTATAGCGTTATCTTTTTGAAATTCAATTTTTCTTTTTTAATTGAGGTGGATCTGACAGGTCGGGTTGTCGGGAACAGCTTCCAGGTAGACCGGTTGGGTCTTGGGTCAGGATATGGGAGACTCAAAACCGACCCATAATTTGGTGAGTCCAGTTCTGGGTCCGTGGTCAACGAGGCGGGTCCAAGGCAAAACCGATCTGTGGCCGTGTCTATGTAAATGTAAATGAGTTGAGTCTGGCAAATGGAGAACTCGAGTTGGAGTTGACTTTGTTGAACTCCGGCTTTTTTTTTTCTTCTTCTTAAAATAAAAACTCAATTCCTCCTTTTTTTTACTTCTTTTGTATTTATATTATTAAGTTTTATCATTACAATTATTTATCTTAAATAAAAAAAAACTTTATATGTTCGTAAGTAAATTAAAAATTAGAGGTTTTTGTGCATGAGTCCCTACCCAACCATCTTTATTATTCTAGGTTTATGAGCTATATCTGTTTCACCAATAAGCCCATCCCTTTAAAATTTATTATAAATAAAGGAAAAATTCATGTATATGACAAAATTACCCCCAACCATTTACTCCCAATTCTTAATTGTAACACCAATTTAATCAATTTTGACTTTTTTTTTTCAAAAAACTTTTTTTTTTTCAAAAACCTTTTTTTTTGTTTGTTTTTTCCACCGCCGGATTCCGGCGTTGACTTCTTTTAGTTTTTTTTTTTTTTACATCCGCCGCTAAACGTTGACCGTAATTGTGCTGTTATTAACGGTAATTATACTATCAGTGACAGTACATTAACGTAATTGTAATGTCGTTGACAATAGATATACGTAATTGTACTGCCGTTGACAGTACAATTAGAGTCAATGACAATATTACTATTTTTTTATTATTATTATTTTCTTAAACTTGTTTGATTTGCCGACAAGTCAACGCAATTATATTACTGTCGTTAACGGTAAAATAACTATAAACACAATACTATAACTGTCAACCACATCAACATTATTACTTTTTTGGGTTTTTTGTTTTGTTTGAGTTATTCACGGAGTAACGTAATAATATTACTGTCTTTTAGTGTAATATTATTGTAAACACAATAATATTATTGTTGTTGACAGTAATATTACTGCTGTTATAGTAATATTACTGTCAACCACATCAATATTTTTTTTTGTTTTTTTTGTTTTGTTTGAGTTATTCACGGAGTAACGTAATAATATTACTGTTTATTATTATAATATTATTGTGGTTGACGGTAATATTACTGCTGTTATAGTAATATTACTGTCACTCATAGTAATATTAATTCTTTTGACTTTTTTATTATGTTTACATTTGTTGAACGATCAACATATTAATATTACTTTATTACACAATAATAATGAGTTTTGTTGTGTTAATATTAGATATTAATATAGCAATATTCATGTGTTAAACTGTCGTATAGTTAATTTTGCTTTGTTAAACATTAATATAGTTAATTTGGATGTCAACCACATCAATATTATTGTTTAAACGGGCAAAAACATGTTGAAGAAAAAAAAAAAAAAAATCAACGCTACTAGAGACCGGCGTTGATAGCCGGTAAGCAGCGGCGGAAAGAAGAAAAAAAAATGAATACTTATTATTTTTATCTATAAAAAGGAGGAATCTTATGGTGGTTTCTTCCATTTTTTTTAGTGACAAAAATATCCTTTCATAGATCAAATTTCTAAGGATAATAATTTAATATAATTTGTTTATTATTATTGAATTTGTATAAATGTATTTACAAATTAATTAGTACATGTATATGCACAAATGTTACGGATGTTACAATTCACATTTACATATTGTTATTAATTAGAATTAATGTGATTCATGTCTAGTTTATGTAACACCCCACATTTTGGGAATCCTAATCCCTAACCAAAATTCCATAACCCGAAAATTCTCACGTAGGAATTATTAGGAATTTATTTACCTTATTAACTTAATTTCTTTAAGTACCGTATTTGCTTAGACTAATAATCATTATACGCCGATTTGATTATATGCCTTATGTGCTAGGAATTTATTGAATATTTATGTGCCAACTTTATTTCGATAATTATGTGCTTAAGTAGATTAATTATTAATAATTATGTGTTAGATTAATTTATGTGACTTATGTGAATACATGTGCTACAGTTAATTAATTTTGTGGCATTTTAATTTAATTCTCTAAGTACCTTATAATACATAATATAATACATGCATGCACATATACATATACGTATATAGCTATATGCCTATGCATGCTAAACCTACATAAGTGAAATACATATATAAATAAATATATATAAGTGTGTGTTTTCGGATATGTGTGTGTGTGAGAGTTAATTAGTGTATTTATTAATTAATAAATAAATTAGAAAAGATGCATGTTTGTACACTTGGCCAAATGTGATGATTTACACTAATCCAACACTCAATGTGGATTAGTCATCCCAAGAGACACCCTTCCTTCCTCTCCTCTCTCCCCCTCACTCCACACTTGTCTCTCCTTCACCATCACCACCGAAGCATCACCTCCCCCATCGGCCACCACCTCAAATTTCTTCAAGAAAAAAATATAGAAATTAAATCAAATGCAAATCCCCTATATAAGCTTCACCCTTGAATATGCCAAGAACACCATCAAAAACACTTGCCTTGCCCTCTTACGGGAGATTTAAACTCCTCCCAACTTGATATCAAAGCTCTTACCTTCTCTATTCAACTAGTTTGGTTCAATCTTGGAGCCACTTCTTGAAGGAGGTAACATTGTATCTTCGTTTTCTTCATTTTTCTTCATCCTCCTTTTCTTCCTCTAAAAAACCCTCTTTTCATTTGAAGGTTTTTCTTTCTTCGGCCAACACTCTTTGATAGGTAAGAAATCTCGAATTTCTTGCTGCAATTAAAGGGTATCATAGTATGGAAAAGGATTTTCAAAACTACTTAAAAGATTTCCTCACTTTTCGAAAAATTAGGGCTTTTTGCGTAAAATCCGAAATCTTGTGCTAATCTTGGTATTTGTGTTCTTGCATGTCTAATCCATGTTATAATCTGTGAATCTAAGCATTTTGTGTTTAAAGGTTTAATATTTCGAATTTTTGGGAATTCAGGAAAAAGAAAATGAGTTTTCAAGATTTTGGGGTTGCATGTGTAGATCTATGAATCTTTAGGACTAATCTGCAATTTCTTGGAATTTCAGCTTGAAAAATGTTTTCACTTTTAAAATCTCAGTAGGAGTAAGTGGAATTTTGTTATTTTCTATTTGGCCATAGTTTGGGATTAAAATTTGTTGGAAAAATCATTTTTGGCTTCAACACTACTTGCCGAGTATTTTAATTTTTTTAAATCCGATTTTTGAGGAAACTGCAAAATTGTTTTTGCATCTGTTCATTTAGTCAGTTAGGCAGCCTATAATTAAATTTCAGAACATTTAGGTTTCATTGCTATTATTTCGAGATATTGGTTGTGCATGTGTCATAAATGGAACTTTTGTGTTTTAATCATTATGCCTTGAGTATTAATTGTGTGAAGGTGAATTTATGAATAAAAATCTGCAGCTGAACTATGTTAAGGGGCTGTAAGAATTTTAATTCATTTAATGAATAAAAGTGGGAGAAATCCCATTAATGAAAGATAAAAATGTTGGTGCTTTAAGGGCATGGTTTGATAATTTAATGCTAACTAAAGTATGTTTTAGGGCTGCATGTTGTGTGTATATGTGTGTGCCGTGTGTGTGCATATGTGCTATTGTGTGTGTAATTTATGATATATAAATATATAATATGATGCTATAATAATTATGTGAATTATGTGCTATACTTAAGTGGTTATATATATATATATATATATATATATATATATATATATATATATATATATATATATATATATATATATATATATATATATATATATATATATATACAAAAACCCCCCTCTTATTTGGATAATTACATCTACCCCCCTCAACTATGATTTTTTCTTACACCTCCACCCTTATAGTTTGCACTCGTTTTGAGTAAAAATACAGTTTCCGGTGCACCACAAACTGATATATATACAAGCTAAAAATCACATATTATGATCATCTTGCTTCATAATGTAGAGTTTGAATGGGATAAAACGGGTACAAAAGTGATAATATTCCATATAATCTCGAAGATTCCACTAAATTTGAGGAGTCTAGGGGGTGGTTGTAATTATCCAAACAAGAGGGGTATTTTTGTAATTTGACCATACATCAGGGGGGTGTTTGTAATTTACCCTATATATATATATATTATGTGGATAATTGGATTTTGTTTCAGTGCTCGTTGATTGATATTTGTGATGTCGTAAAGTTGTCATTTTGTATTAGAGTCTCATTCGTCTCATGGTCTTGCATAAAAAGAGATTTCATTTCTACGAAAGGAAAGGTTAATGGAATGCTTGGGTTGGATAAGTC